CTCAGCTGGGCTTGAGCTTGGTATGACATGGGTGTCAGGATTGAATGGTCTGAGTTACAACCACTGCAAGCTTTCTCTCTCTTACAACCTGTTCAAAGTTTAGTTACCACTATGTTTCACATTGCTATAGAAAGTGCCTCAATAAAGGAGAGAAAATCTCTAACATCCAGGTGGTGCTTCATTGCATCACCTCCATGAGCTTCTTAATAAGAATATCTTCCTAATCTATCAAAACCATTCCAGAGTAAGCCTTGACATGAAAATGACACAGATTATCCATGTAAATGACTAAGCTCTCTGTGGTGCCATGCTTCTGAGCCTTGAAATTGGCTTAACAGATTGCTAAATATTCCACTAGGTTGAACCTTTTGGTGAACATACATACACAATGGCTGTTTCACAGTCCCAAGGTGCCTGATGGAGTCTAGAACCAAACCAGCTTTACAAAAAATCAGGCATTGTACAGTCTACTCAAGATACTAACAATTTCAATCAGTTACCTGCCTAAAATGGTTTAGGAAATGGTCCAAATCTTCCTTCTCTGCAACCTTTCATGTTGGGAGCATAAACTGTTTACCTCACTCACAGGGACTGATTGTGGCCAGAACGTTTCCTTCACATCCTTTCAGCCATTAACTAATTGAGATGCCCTCAACATCATGCGTACAGCATTCTAGGTATGCACAGAATATTTGACTCTTGTGTACCTTGCCCAGGATGACAATGAGTGCAATTGGTAGCTTGTCCATCACCTCTGTGTGACCCCAGGCTCCTCTGTGATTCATGGTGATCCCTGCAGTAGACTTTTCAGATTTCATCACTACCTCATCCTCATGGTTCATCATTCAATGCCAGACATCTCATTTGGTAGTGAGATAGCTTGTGTTGGCAGATGTTATCAACCAATAGCAACTTCCATCTCCCTTGACTGTTCTACAATTGCTTTGATCAGATCTATGGTTGGCAAAAGTCTTGGAGTCATATACAGACTGCTGAGTTTGGTCTCAGACTTGACAGAAGGCACATCACAGCAACAATCCCCTATTGTCAATGGTTCTCTTGCACTGAGGTTGATCAACAGGGAGAAGAGTATGAACAGCCATTCTGGTACACCAGAAATCCATGGTTCTTTCTTAGTCATTGGTTGCAATGAGCCTTTACAGCATTGGCAAAATTCCAATGTCCATGAGAGAACTTTTAGACTCAACAGTTATCTTAAATATCTATCTTCCTTCAGTGACTGACTCTTTATCTATATCATTGGTCCTCTGGGTTGTGAAAAATGCCACTTCTGTAACAATGGAGCTTTTTTAAAATTTAATAACACAACACTATTAGTAAATGGAAATACAAATGTCAGCAGAAAATAGAAAATTCTGCAGGAATAATATATCTTGTGGTCATGGCCTCAAAATTTTCTCATTCTAATTCAGAAAGGAGGGTAGATGCCATTGGAGCTTGCAACCTGGGCATAAAACTTTGCAAAATAAATATGGAGAAGAATCGTGTAGTATGCTAATAGAGATAAGACATCTTCCTGCAGCACACATACTGCCATCCCACAGGTGGTGTGAAAATTTTCCAAGGGGTACCACTAGACCAGCAAAGGTGGTTAAGGAAGAAAGCTAGGAAAGTAAGGATAATAAAATGAAATGTAAGTAAAATGACTGTAAGAGGCATAAAACTAGCAGATGCCATAAGAAAGAATAAGAGTAAAACTTGTATTTGTTCTAGAGACCGAATTGAAAGGACAGAGTATGAAAAATATAGGTGCAGACTACAAGCTGTTCTATTCAAGAGGGTCAAAAGGAAGGAATGAAGTTGGAATTGTTTTAACAGATTCAAGATGAAAGTGGTCGAAGTAGAGAGAACACTGGATCAACTCATGGGTGTAGATTTGTTCCTGGTAAACATCAGGTTCGAAAAGAGAGAGGGCTGGTTTGGTTTGTTATGAAATTTGCTAAAGCTCCTCGAGGGATATCTAAGTTAGCCAATCGTAATTTAGCAGCAATACACTAGAGGGAGGGCAGTTAATCAATACCACCAACTCTTAGGCTACTCTTTTACCAACGAATAATGGGATTGACCATCATATCATAATGCCCCCATGGCTGAACGAGATTGAGAAGCACCCTATAACATACAAGAGCGACCAGAATAAGATGCAGCTTGACTACATCTTAGTTCAAAGGTGGGACAGAAAAAAGGTGTTTGATGTAGTGATACCAGGAGATGCAGTGGCACACCAGCATAGAATTTTGATAATGGAGATGAAGAATAAGAGGAACAAGAAGAAAGGAATTGAGAAGATTAATATGTGGAAACTAGAAGGACAAAACAAAAGAAATACACAGGCAGTAAAATGAAAAATGAAAGAGATACAAAAGATTGCTGTTATTGAAAAGTACTGAAGAAATGCCTAATTCAAGAGGCAGAGAACATTTACAGTAAAATATAAGGGCGAGGAACCAAATAGAAGGAAGCGTGATGGTGGAACAAAGAAGTACAGCAAACCATCATGTAAAATAAAAAAACCTTCAAAGAATAGCAGATAAAGAAGGACCTCTGTTCAAGAATAGTGTACAAGATAGTAAAAAAATTGAGACAGAGAGCAGTAGTAGTGGCAAAGAACGAGGCAATTCAAAATTGGTATAAGAACACAGAGGCACCAGAAGAAGAGAAGAAGCCTATACAGAATAACCAAGCAAAGGGAACTGGCAAAGAGACATTGCAGTGATCAAAGTAATTAAGTACAAAGAAGGGATGCTCTTGATGAATGAAAAGACAGTAATACAGAGATGGAAGCAGTATTATGAGGAACTACTTAACACCAAAAATGAAGCAGAAGAGTTAAAGGAGTTACCACCAATTAAAGTCCCAGTACTGGATGTCAGTAGAGCAGAGGTCAAAGACACAATCAGAAAAATGAAGATAGACAAGATGGGAGGTCCATCAAAGATTGTCATTGAGATGGTCTAAGCATTAGGGGATGATGGAGTTGATTATATATGGTCCCTGTTGAAGAACATCTAAATGGAAGAGTGGATACCTGCAGAATGGAGAGAGAGACTATTGATACTCATCTACAAGCAGAAAGGAGAAGGTCTTGAGTGTGAAAACTATAAAGGAGAATCTGCTGAGAGTGAAAGAAAAAGTACTGGAAAGGAGAAACAGGGAAGTAATAGACATTAATGAAATACAGTTTGTGTTTTGGCCTGGGAGAGGAAAAATAGATGCAATCTTCATTGTTCAACAGTTGCAGGAAACAAGAAGTTATACCATGCTTTTGTAGATTTGGAGAAAGCATATGACAAGATGCCATGAGAATTAGTATACTGTTGCCCCTGAAATGCCTAATTCAAGAGGCAGAGAACATTTACAGTTGAACATTTACAGATTACAAGATGCCATGAGAATTAGTATATTGTTGCCCCTGAAAGAGAGGAGTGCCTGAATAGCTGATCAGACTAGTGAGAGCCACTTATGGAGTGACAACAATTGTAAAAACTGTATATGGAGAAGTAAACAAGTTTGAAGTAAACATTGGGCTGCACCAAAGATTAGCCATTAGCCCCCTGCTGTTCATCATTGTCATCATCATCTTGAGTAAGGTGTGCTATATGGGAACCATGTGGGAACTATTAATCGCTGATGATCTTGTCTTAATAGCTGAAAGTGAGCAGGAGTTACAAATGCAAGTTAAAATGTGGCAGAAGAATTTGGAAAGAAGAGGCATGAAAGTGAATGCCAGAAAAATGGAAGTCATGGTGAGTGGAAGAGGTAGGAAGAAGAAGGATGTAAACAGGAAGCCATTGTATTAGGTAAAAAAACCTTAGGTACTTGGGGAGCTCAATCCAAAGTGAAGGAGGAAGTGAGAAAGCTGTGAGAGGTAGAATCCAGGTGGATTGGAGGAAATGGAAGGAAGTAGCCACAGTCATCTGTGACAAAAGGTTACCAAGGGCACTGAAAACCAAAGTGTATAAGACCATGATTAGACCAGTGCTTCTCTGTGGAGCTAAGATGTGGACATGAAAAAGCAAGGTGGCAGCTTGTTGATAAGAACAGAAATGAGAATGTCACAGAAAGATTAGAGAATGAGTAAGGAAATATCAAGTGTCTGTGGAATAAAGGAAAAGGTAAAGAAGGGGAGACTTAGGTACTTTGTCACATGAAGAGAAAAGAAGATGAACAAGCAATAAGGAAGGCATTTTAGCTGTTAGTAGTTGGCAAAAGAAGACAGAGAATGCCAGTAAAGCATTTCGAAGATGGGATTAATGAAGACATGAATGCGAAAGGAGCTGCAGAAGATCTGGCAATGAATAAAGATGATTGGAGGAGGGCAATAAGTGGGAAGGATGGTGACCCCTGCTAAAGGGAAAAGCTGAAGAAGATACTCTATGTAGATATTCAGGTCAAACTGATTTTCCTTGGAGCAATAGGTTCATTGAATTACATGAGATTCAATAAGATATCTATTACAGAGTAGTTGTGATTTTCTCTTTCATTAACCGAGTTCATGAAAACAAAATGAAGAGAGTGGAAACAATTAACACAATAACCAGTAATCTTTATTAAATCACTAACACAAACACAGTATATGTACTAACTTAGGATGCTGGACACCTCTTTTGCTGGATGTCAATCTATTTTTCTCTCCAAAATGTAACGTTACCTATTTCAGATGTAATGTAATATATTATATGGAAACTGCATATATAGAATAACCGATTAATTCTAAAAATATTTTATAAAAATAAGAATGTAGAAAATGCATGATAATTCTTATGTACCACAATAGGTTCATGTTAAGCTCAAAAGGGGAATCATTTGCACCTAATGATCTCTCAGCCAATATGCATGCTATGTAGTTGGTAGTTGCCTTTTAGAATATGAATATTTTCAGAATTTGTACATTTAGAAATACTTATTAGCTTAGCAAATAAATTTATTTAGTTTTTGTAATGGTATTGCTTACTTTATTTCTTAAATTTTAACTTTAGATTTCTGATACATCATGTTCAGGACTTGTACATGCAAGTAGAAAAAAATAAAAAGTCAACAAGTAAGCCAGTAATTTGGCAAGTTGTTGAAGACAGGATTCAAAAGCAAATGATGCTTCGTGTTGTTTCCTGTGTGCAACTAGCTAGCAAACAACATTCCCATTGTAGGGTAAGTTATTAAATACTGTCAGAATAATTATGAAATGATCTGTTTTTACTTTTCCTTAAGATTTTCTGATTGAATGTTTTACATCAATAAGTATGATTATTAAGTAAAAAAGCTAACAGCAAGTGTTGAAAATTGTATTATGGAAACTTGTAAAACTAAATTAGTTCAGTATATACACTACTTTATGTTAATTTAGCTGAAAGTGTTAGATTTGATGTACATATTCTTAAATTTATTCATTTGGTACTCATAAGCCTCTTTAAATCAATTGTTAGAATTCAACTGCCAATTTTAAAAAGATTTTTTTCATGTTTTATACCACTTATGAAATACTGTGACCTTTCCTTATTGGATTTCCTTTAATGGCAACTCAAAGTTCTAAATGTACTCCATGCAATGCAGAGCATGCACCATTTACCCATTATTCTCCACTCTTCTATCTACCACTTGGCTTATTGTGAATATGTCAGCTGAGTTTACTTAAGCACTAATTTCCTGCCAACATTCAGATTTTCATGTTGACAGTTGTGATGTTCAAATCATATTATCTTTTTTTTTCACTTTGTACTGCTTCTGCTTCTTTAGAAGCTTTATTCCTGCAGCCATCCACTATTGTGTAGAGAGTTCCCTTAGTTACATTGTTGGTTCTTATATTCTAGTGTATTCAGGCCATTAATATCAAGTCTTCTGTGAATGTTCCTAATGAGTACCAGAGTCTTATGGAAGCCAATGTGATATATCTATTCTTCTCCTCCTTATATGAACAAGCCAGTTGTTTTGCACAAACTTTTTCACCTTTGCCTGAGAAGCAAGTTTTGCTGTCCATCCCCAGGCTTGATAAAGCTCTGCTGGACTTAATTCTCTTACTTCCTAGGTATGTACATATTAAATCTTCAACTGATTTATTTTACACCTGAAGTTTTAATATTTTGTTACAATATTCTATTTTGGAATCTTTATTTCTTCCTCCTTTTACCAATGTTCAGGTTATGGCTGATGCTCTTAAAAATTAGTGCAGTTTCCAAAAATTACAATTGTCTCACATTTATCTATATTTTGCTTTTAAGCAGCATCTTATTTATCTGTTCATTTCATGTCACAAACTTTAAGCCTCAGATTGTGTTTCTTTTTAACCTTCCACCCTGTCTTCTCTTCAATGCTCAGTAATTATGTTGATTTTAAGACTTTCTTCATCAGCACATTTACTAGCTGTTAGCTATTTTCATTCTCCTGATTGTTTTTCTCAGAAGCAAGTGACTGCTTTACATGTTTTCTTTCTACAACTCGTACCGACTTGATTTGGGTTACACGTGACTAGCTTGTACTTTTGATTCCCCTATCTCTCAAAATTTGATGACCTCCAAAAGGTTTATTTCTTTTGCCCTTTTGTTTTTCTCAGTATATCTCCTGAATTGATATCTCAATCAGGAACATTTTGGCAGAAGGAGCTGTTTAAAGCTTTGGCTACATGTTTTACTTATGATCATCATCCTACTTTTAGACATCCAGTTAGTAATAGCCATCTTCCTTCCTGTATTACCTGCTTCTTCTTCTCAATACTTTTGCTCCTATTGAGTTGTAAACCATAGAAGTAAGCATAGTGGACCTTTTTGCCTCATACAGTTATTTTCTTTCAGAGTGGCTTCTCCTCTCTGGCTTTTGGGAGTGTAGATAGGATAATTTATCTGTGGAACCCTTGACTTTGGAACCCTTGAGTTTCTTCATATTTTCTTCAGTTTAGTTTGTTTTACCCAATTTCATCCACTTTTTGCTTATATAGTTTCCTTTCCTCTTCTATATAATTCAATTTGTGTGAAAACTTTGGGTCAGGAATTTTAGAACCTTTCACAGAAAAGTGCTGTCAAATCTAGGAGTACACTATACTTCTCCATGCATTTACTCTTGTATCTTCACTGTACCATAAAAAAAAAACAAGAACTTAAAGACCAGTAATAGATCTTTCTCATCTCAGCTGTTATCTATACATTTTTCATTTCAAGATGGGAAACATGGAGATTTTATGGAAATTCCTTCATCATGTATTTTATGAAAACATTCTGATTTACCATTCTAAACATGTTCTTTTCTTTTGCCATGTGGTAGTGGTTCATCAAATTATGGCCCTTCATTTTGGTCTGGTTTCAGCTCCTTATGTCTTTACACATGTAGTTAAAGTATTTGCTGGGTTTATACACACTCAATATAAATTTTCATCATTAACAGATGATTGACCTATTCTCACTCAACCATCACTTCAGTTATCAACTCACTGTTGTCTAACTAGCTTATCAGTTTCTTCTATAGGATGAGTTGTCCATAATTTCAAGTCTCAAACAATACCTACTTCGGATGTACACTTTCTAAGGAACTCTTCATTCATCTTTTTTAAAATTGCAGTCCCTGGAGTCTCAGTTGTGACTACATCTCTCCTCTTTTCCATCTTTCAATGATGTTTTCTCTGCTTTAGGGGGGATGGTTTTTCTTTATGTGGGAATTCCTTTGAATTGTGCTCAGATGAGACACTTACAATGAGTTCTTGCCTCTAATTCGTATCTTATCATCAAAATCATACCTCACAGAATTTACATTCTTCTTTTATTCTTTATTATCTTCATGTGTGTCTCATTCAGAAGTTTACTGCTATATAGGTTCCTCCTTTCTTCCACCTCATCTGATCTGTACCATTTCACAGATGGCTTCTCTCTCTTTCTCTTTCAAGTGCACAAGTGCTGTACTAGTAGAACATCGTTTTTCAGCTGTGTTCCTGACCTTATCAGTAATCAGTTTCTTACACAAGTCTTTTGGAACATTGGACAGTTCAGTGTTCTTATCAAGAGTTCTACTTGGGTGACATATATTGACAATTAGGGAGGAACTGTATTCCACACTCTTCATTCCACTACTATACGTCTACTTCTTTGGCTTTATTCATATCATATACATCTCTGGGCCTGTCATGTGCTAGGTGTTATGAACATTCTCTTTCCATAGATTGTCAGCTTCTTCCTACAGGGTTGACACTTCACCTTCATCTTTTCCTTGGTTGTGTCAGTGGCTTGATTGTCCTCTGATCAATACAATGAAAGACAGCCATTTTCTCCTTTACTGTTCCCCAGTTTCAGACCTTACTTCTATAGCAGTGGATGCTTTAGTCTTATTTTGGGAAAATATTTTTCTCTATGCCTATCCTCCTCTTCATCTTCTTCCTTGGGTAATGACTAAAATTTGTTCCTTGAATTATCAAGTTCTCCCTGTGGCTCCACATTGGCCAGCTGACCTGTGGTTTCCACTAATATTTTGTTTATCTGTAGGAGATCTTATCTTGCTATCTCTTTTGAAACACCTTATATGCCATCTTTGAATATCCATCTTCCATAAGCTGGATTAGTTTCTCAAGTAGCTCAAATTTTGTCACATTCTTGCAGATGTTCATCCTTGGCTATATACCATTCTTGTTGTGTTCTGTTTTGAAATTCCTGCCTTAGAAGTTCTATTTCTGATCTTTCTTCATCTCCTTAAAAGATTGTCTTAATTTTCATTTAGTTTCTGTCTGTTTTTTCTATTGCAGGCTATAGAGCTCCCCTCTCTGCTACCTTTACATGCCACAAAGACTTTTTTATTTTTCCATTTCTGCTATTTCACAAGCTTTTTTGAGCCTTTGGCTTACCTCATCCATAGATATTGTTCTCTGTGAGATTTAGTTTATGTATTAAAATGTCTCACTTCTCTTCCTTTTGAATCTTTAGTAACTCGTTCACTCTACCATCTTTCACTTTTCTCTTACTCACATCAGGTAGAAGATGTGACATTTATATTATTGATGCTTTTTATACACTTTTTTTCTATATCTGTATCCTGATGAGGTTTCATACCAACAACTTGGGCTGCAATAAGAGGTACCCACTGTTCTTCACATTTGTGTTCTGTATCGTGACTGACCCATATTCTTCTTCTAAAGAATGTTTTCTATATCTTGTCAAGGCCATTTGTTACTATGCATTGCACAAATGCTCCATCCACACTAACAAAATGGACTGTGCAACTGATCGATCTTGTCTGTTGTGATGTACCTGTACATCATAAAGGTGAATTGCAAGTCACATCTCATCAAATTTGCCATTTCACAATGTCTTTTGCTTTTTATTATTGATATCTGTTAGGGGACATCTTACAAGACATCATGTGGGTGAATCCAATTATATATATATTCAATTCTACTTCCTTTTCACTGCTGGCTCTTCTGTTTGCTGCCTATGGTTATTCCTCAAGTCAGATGGAATTAATAGCAGATGAGTTATTTTCTTTTAAATGCTTATCTACTAATTGGGTTTACACCTACATTGTATGTGGTGACCCAGGTATTTCTATTCTACCAACATCTCTGTTAACAATGAGTTTCTGAGGTTGAGAAGCTGTTTTGTTAGATATACATGACTGTTTCTATTTAAGCTTAATGCAAGTTTTATGATTTAGATAGTTTATATAGCATGAGTGTTAATTTTGTTATTTTTAGAAATGGTGGTTTATTACAAATTTGTTTACATAACTGTTTTTGAATCATACATTGTGTAGTTCAATAGATGCAAGATAAATAAAAAAAAATTGGGAATTTAAAAACCAGCAAATAGGGATCAAAAAAAAGTAAGGAAACAAGGCTAGATATACTGTAGACACCATTTCCTCAAACTACAAACCACTATTTTGGCTCCATATGCCGTTACCTAGAATTAAATAATTAAATTTGGTGGAGTCAAAATAGGGATTTGTATTTTGAATAAATAATTTCTACAGTACCTCCAGTCTTACTTTTTTTTTACAATCCTATTTGCAGGTTTTTAAATTCTGAATTTTTTACTTGTTTGCTGGCTTTGTTATATGCTCAACTCTGGGCAAAGGATTACTTATATGGTAGTTAACTTTATACATTGTAATGATAATAAACATAGCTAGTAGCCACCTGATACAGTTCATGATTATTTACTGTAGCTATTGACGATTTGTTTGCATTAGTTCGAGATGTAAAATGTTAAGCTGCAGCTAGAGGTATTCATGGAGATTTGTTTGAGAATATAGTGAGCATTTATAGTTTCTGTGTAACTAACTTCTCTCTATACAAATGCATAGCAATGGGAAATATATACCTAGACTAAAGCACAACTCCCACTAAGCACGCATAAAATGAAGCATTCAAATAAAATATACATGTCTAAAACATTGCTTTAAATAAACCTTTGTGTCTTTTAAAATAATTATTCTACAAATGTGTGTAATAAAATTTTATATTATGCGTATTGATTTTTTTGCTCCTTCACTTCATACATAATATAAGAGTTGGCTCCCTAAGGACACCGACTGTATAGTGTACAAAGCATTGAGTGTCTACATGTTACAGTAATCTAATGTTCATCTATTATTGGCAGGTAATTCCTGTTTCACCCTGTACTTAAGCTCTTAAAAGGAACACTAGATATTTGTAAGAAAGCTAACTTCAAGGGGAAATGATAACATCGTTTACACTAGAATTATGATGTTTACTAGCTTACGTAAAATGTAGAAAAAAAAAGTGACTTTACCATACCACTATGACCTTCTCAGTATTCTACAAAAGGTATTGGTGCAACATATCGAGCTGTTTTTGTTGTAGGCTGACAAAAAATGACAATAATAATGAGAATTACAAATGGGCCATTTTGAGTGGATTTTATTTTCCTTGTAAGTCCAACATGCATGCTTTTTTGTGCACTTTTATATGTGTACAGCCTTAGCAGTGAATATTAAAAATTTTAAAGTGTTGTTGGAACTGAATTTTTACTGTTTAAGGTGCTTTTTGCCTGAACGTTATATTAACATTTTGTGCAATTCCTTGTGATCCGG